TGCACAACATCAAGAAAAACTTTTCTTAAGTGTAAATCAATGATAAATAAGTGAAAATAATATGTAAAATATAGGAAAAAAATTTTATGTGAAATCACATAAATTTGATGCATGACAATTACTCAATGGATATAAAGCCAAATATTATATAGTTCTTACTTTGAGTTTAATTAATGGTTTATACAAGTTTCGGAAGGGGTATTGGAGATTGGGTTACAAAATTTTAAGTACAATATTTATATTTAATTTTTTATTTAGTTATTATAAACTAAAAAATATAAACTGGATCACACACAAGGCATATAGTGAAGAGTAAATTAGTACAACAAAACTTAATTTACCAATTTATCACAAAAGCATGAGAAGATAAATAGAACATTAACCACAACAATAAAAATTCTAAAGTTAAATAGATAGTTATGGACAACAAAAAAATTTTCATGATTTGGCCAAAACTTACATCCAAGCCTTTGCATTTATACACATCTAATTTCTTGTAAAATCCAAACAAAAATAATTTTTTACTTATCTAGAAGTAGAGAAGCCTATTTAAACACACCTTCATCTAATTTCACCTCATGCTCATAAAAATAGCCTCCAAGTCTTCTTTAGTTTTATTTACTAAAATACAAAATACAACTAATTAATAATAATAAAAAGAACTTTAATCATAAGAAAATATTTTTTTGGACATGTTTGACGACGAGCATGAAGAATTTGTAGAGCTCAACAAGCATTAACATAATCTTCATGTTTAAGTAAGAAATATTACGAAAATTTTACACTTAAAAATTTCTTGGTTGTTGTAGGAAAAGGGGAGAGCGGTAGTGTTTCACTAAGGATATCACAATAGGCATCATGCTCTAAAAAATATTAAGTATTTATTCTTATGTGGGCTTAAGATTTGATCTAAATTGAAATGAAATAATAAAAAACATTTATTAGCCTTATTTATTAATTCATCAAAAATCTAAAAATCCTAAGCCCGAATTTGAATTTATATGATTAGTAATTGTTATTAATTTTTTTCTAAAATTGACCTTTATAGAGGTGTGTAATGTTTAATTAAGATTCACTTTGTAAGAACCCAAAATAAGTTTGGGAGACTTGATAAAATTAAATTTTAGGATCTTAAGTCATTATATTTTTCTTATAGTGTCATAATACTTTTTGATGACTTACAATATTATAGAGTCACGAAAAGTATGATGGATGATCATTTTCATATTTTTAATTCTACATATTTAATTTATAAGATTAATCCAAATGCTTTCATTCAAATTGGTATATGCAATGGCTCAGTTATGTTCTGATAGAAATTATAGAAAAGATATATCTTATTTTTAGAATAAACTTTTGCTAATTAAAAAATACTAATTATAATTATTGGGTAGCTCATATATCCGTCTATGCATTGAATCTTTCATGTTTTGAGCACTATGGATTTACACATGAAAAAATACAAATTAATTTATATCTCTAATCATTAGGTCATTATATGCACATTTTTTATGACAACTTGTTATCCTACAAACATTAAATTAAAGAGAAAAAACTATTAGTCTATTCATTTCTTAGTGTAATATATAAGCGTCAAAATGAAGTCATAGGCTTATGAGTTAGCACATTTTCCTTGATTAATTTAAGTTGAAATAGAAGTTCTTATAAAAAAAATAATCAAAAGTGGAAGAAAAAACTCACAACAATGTAAAAGCAAACAAAAAAAAAAGAATGCAAGGAATTAATGCAACAAAGATAACTAAATCACTAATATTAAATTAGCATGAACATATTAACTTTATTGGTCTTAATTAGCTTTATAAAATAGGGGATGATACTTACTAATCTATTAATATTAAATATTCACCGAGTCCTAAGTTTCTTGTAAGATTAAAAGAAAAAACTTATGTAAGACTAAGAGATACATCAAAAAATATAAGTTTATTCTCTACAATTTTTTTTAATTTGGCTTGACATACACTAATGAATCTACAGTAGATAACCACCAACTATTTAATCCTTTATAGAACTAATGATTTAATGTTAATAAACATTTGAAAATTTATGAGGAAAAGAAGTATACATTGCAATAAGATAAAGTCACCAATAACATATTATAATAGATGTACAAGCTTCTAGTTTTGATACCAAATGATAGATGAAATGTTAGAGCCCATTACAATAAAAGATGAAATTAATAAAGAAAATGATGGATGATATACATATATAGTATAATTATGAAGGAAGTTTTTCAAAGAACCTCAATAGAGAAAGCAATCAAGTTTAACCTCGTATATAGTTAACAACTAAACTCTTTTATGATATAAAATTAAAACTTAATATTATGTTAGTTAAATATTTATTTTCTAAAACAACTCACCTCATATACACAAGTACAAAATATTCATGAAATTTCTTAATTGATGGCCACATTACTTATTAAAGAGATCCTTATTGTAAGGATATAAATTTTAGTTTCTTGCATTCAAACTTAATTAAAGGTGGAGAGAGAGGGAGAGAAAGGGAGAGAGAGGGAGAGAGCAAAGAAAAAGAAGGAGAACATTTCATACTTATTTCTTTCTTTGAAAAATTAGTCCTCCCTTATTAGAAAGATAAAAAATCACAATAATTTCTTTTATGATGCATAATCTCTCTCTTGGTTGTTCCATCATTAATTAGAAAAATATTACATCAGGACTCCGTATGTAGAGCTACGTGTGGAGTCCAATGAAATTACGCCGTGGAGGAGATTGGCCCGGCAACCCAAGGGAATATTCCCCTCGTATTTTTCAAGTGTTATTGTGTGTTATTCAGGTGTTATTCAAGTATTATTGATGTATTATTGTGTTTTTATAACACCGGGATTATTCCCAAAACACAACACTTGAATAACATATAATAATATATATATGAATAACACACAATAACATCTGAATAACATGAGGGAAATATTTCCTTGGGTGACCGGGCCGATCACCTCCACGGCATAATCGTAGCTCTACGTGCGGGGTCCTGATGTAATATTTTTTCCATTAATTAAGATTCTAGTGGTTGAATCTTTCTATTAAAAACTAATATGAATTTTATCATATGAATTATAAAATTGAAGTTTAAACACTTCCCAATTTCATGTGATGATACAATAATAAACTAATTTCTTTCATGAATATAGTGCTAGCATGCACCTTTTTGAATAAAAAAATCTTAAACTAATTGTGTTATCATTTTTTTAATAATAATATGATGAATATAATGTATACCAATATTCTTGCATTTATATTTTGAGGATCAACTCTTGCATGAAGATAACTCTATTTGAAAGTCACTTTAATGCCTTCCAAAAATATAAAAATCTAATTTATGCCTATAAATATCCAAAATTTACTATCCTTATTATTCTATATTATTAATATGTCCAAATGGCCTAAATAATATTAGCCATTAACACCCAACATGGATTTATAGTTAGATATTAAAACTTTAGGAACAAACGATCACTTAATTACTTTAATATTCCTCTCATTTCAATAAAGCCTATATATAACAGTTTTTATATAATATTCTTCCTCATTGATGTAATTATTGACGAGTTTTACCAACTTGGCTAAAGTACTTTATTTATATAAATTGAGTGCAATTTGAATATTCCTTCCCTTAGATCTTGAGTGAGCATGCATTGTATCAAAAGCTCCAATTCTTTCATTTCAAACGCCTCCCATCGGAGTTTGACAATAAAGAACTGTAAGGCTCATTGCCTCCGTCTCATCTTCAATAGAGCTTTGGAATTCTCTAGAGGTCTTTCAACACTTATGAATTAGATGATGATATTCTTTTGAATTGAACAAATAAAATGGAACTTCCAAGCAAATGACACAAAAATCACCAAAGTGATTACCCTTTAAAATCTCATTTATGTTAATCAGTGAGATGGTCAACTCAAAGCAGGCAATGTGATTTGCTAGATGTCTCTCTTATAAAAATCAAGTATCAAATTTTGAACTTACATGAAGGCTAAAACATAACAGTCTCTCTAAAGAACATACTTTAGTTAAGATGATGCTTTTTAGCCTTTTGTGGTGGAGTTGATTTTACCCACTCCATGAATAATAAAATTCATCATTAGTTGGAGTTGAAATCAATGCCCTAAAGTTTTATGATTGTCAATGAATAAATGAGCCTGGGAATCAATTATAATTTGCTATTTGTGAAATAATTATGAGAACATGCTGAATAACTTCTTAAATCGTTCTAATTAACCTCTCTTCCATTTTGTTTTCTTTTAGTGATTGACCTCTCTCTATCCTTTTGTTCTAATACCTAAATTTGGTAGCAATTTTCTATATTTACTGTACCTAAAAAGATGTTAAACTTATATTTATTTCTAGGCAAAAAAAAAAAAAGATTCTCATTAAAAAGAAAGAATAACACATGAGAATAGAGGGAAGATATTTGGTGTGTGTGTGGGTTTAGTGAATGCTTTAGAGGCCCTTGGCTCCAACATCAAATTTCTGGGATGGGTCAAGTGGTGCGAAGCTACAACTATGGCAAGAATAAATCGTAAGAAATCGAGGGGCTAAAAATTAAATAGAGATCCAAATAAATATGGCTAAGAGTATAAATTTTCTTTCTTTTAAATAAGATTATATTTTTTTTTTATTTCTAAAAAGAGGACCAAATGAATGAACATGTGATGAAACAAGCTCTTAACTTGTATCTAGAAGTTCGACATAAATATCACAAGTTATCAGGCTGAAAGGATTTAACATTAAAAGCACAGTTGATGCCATAACAGGTTCCTGAAAGACAAAAATCATTTCAAAAATTCAAGAACACTACATCAAGTCAGCATCTCAAGTTAAGGAACATCAACAAACAACAATACAAGTTTTGACTTCAGCTTGTCTAACCTCTCTTCCATCCAAGGAGCTTAGAAAAGCCCTATGTTCCAAGCTCTCAAAAATTCAAATTAACTAAACGTCAATAATAAACAAAATTAAAAGTGATAATTTCACATCTAATATTTAATAATATGAGAGATGCATGTTACAAATTAAGAACATAATGAAACATTTCTCTAAAATGTAATTGCATGGAATTATAGTTGCTGATAAGCCGAATAATTTTCACAGTAAAATCTGAATCTGGAGGACTCAATAGGGGGGTTGATGCAACTGATTGAAGAAAATTTTGTAATTTTAAGATTGACGATAACCTCTACCCCTTCCTCGACCTCCAAAACCCCTTCCTCTTCCACTGCTTCTTCCACCATGAGATAAACCTTCCAGTGCTCTGTTAACAAGTTGGTTTTGCATGCCTCCCCCACCACGGGCCATTTTACTTGGAGTATTCAAACCCGTAACATTTGAAGGACCTCCAGTTCTCTTGGCCCTGCAAAGGAATAGTCAACAAAAACATACTTCATACTACCAAGAGGATATCATAAATTTTTTTCGTTATACATGTATGAGTAGATTTGGCAGTGATGAACGAGGAAGTACAAAAAAATGTAATGTAGAGGAAAATTTTACGAATGAGCAACAAAATTGAATATTACATAATTATTATAAAAAATGCTAGAAGCCTTGCTGAGAGAATTGTCAACAAAATAAAAGCAATAACTTTCTATGACTTATTAATAGGCTTTGAATTATATATGGAGAGATATTTAGAATAAAGAGTTAAATTCCAAAAGTTCTCCAACCATTCTTATGTGACCAATTTTATCCTATAGGAATAAAAGATTTCTCTAATTTAATCTCTTATCTATCAAAGATTGATCCACAATAATCCCTCACGGGCTAAATTAGGATCGATTTTGAATCATAATTCTACATGAGGTTTTTTTTTTTGTCAATTTATTTTTTCAATAGACTAAATTAAGGAAATATGACACCTTAGAAGCATATTGGCAACACAAGTATAACCTTTAGACTATTTTGAGAGTTAATTAAAGAATAACCAAAGCAAATTATAAGATATTTTGCTCAATTTATGCAAAAAGTGAAAAGTTGTATCATGATCGAAGATGAAAATTTAATAGAAAGTTGAGAAATACTACTTTGAGAAATTAATAAATAAATCTTAAGGTGGAAATTATTTTAGAAGAATAATATTTCATATAATAAAATATATTATAGGTCAATCTAAAACATATATTTTTTTAAGTCTAAAAGGTAGAGTTAACGATAAAAAAAATGCATAAATTCAAGGATTCAAACCTATGTTAAATTTATTAAAATTTAGAAAATTATGGGGGTTATTGTGGTTATTTGGTTTTAAGAAATAAGGATGCCAATATGAAACCCCTCAAGTAAAATGAAGTTGGAATTTCAACAAGAAATAAGGATGCCAATATGAAACTCCCAAGTTAATTGTAGTCGTCATAGAGCACTACTAGGATGGGTGACCTCCTGGGAAGTTACACCAATGGGGCAAAATCATGAGGCCATTTGGCCAAAGCGGACTATACCTTGATGGGTTCGGGCTGTCATAAATGGTATCAGAGCATTGCACTAGTCAGAATAAGGGAACTAAGTGTCATACAGAGCAAAGTGCTACACCATGGGAGCCACCTCTTGAACCTTGAATGAGACAAAGAGCTACATGGTGAGAGCCACCTCTTGAATCTGTAGGCGCCATCACTAGAATCTTATCTACCTGGTGGATGATTAAGGGGTAAGAAAACAAACGAGGAGAGGCTTAGCCGCGTGAGGGGGGGGGGGGGGGATTGCGAAACACTTAAGAAGAATGAAGTCGAACTCTTAAACATCAAGGTGCATTTTAGTGTAACGGTAGAATTTTGATAAGGAATTTCAAAGTTTAGCATAGTCGTCATGAAGCACTACTAGGTATTATGGTATTTTTTTTCTTGATTTCATTGAAATTGAAGGGAAATATTGTGTATATATATATTTATTTATTGCTACAAATGACAAAAATGGATAAAATATTCCCTTTACTCCAAATTCATGCACCATTGATATAGGTTAAGAGATAACTTATAAGCTCCCGATTGAATAACCAAAAAAAAATAATAATAATAAAAGAGTCAAAAATATATTGTGATAGGATAAAATAATGACACAAAGGTACATTATCAAATTGTAATATGATCAATAATGTCCAATGAATCAAAGTGTTGCATCTAAGTTGAGAGACAAACTAAAAATGTTAAAACAGATGGATGACAAAATAAGGAATAATAAATTAAAAAATAATTATATTTAGGGTTATGAGAAAAACATGGAATAATCAATGTTAAAACGGATGCATGACAAATTTACACCCCTAAGTTGTTCAAAAATAACCTATGTTTGGCTCACTATCGAGCTTGTACTCAACTCATTTATTTTGTAAGTTACTCGAACAGGAATGGATTATTTGAGAAAAAGTGAGCTTTGGCTATAACTTCTTTTGGAAATTGTCTCTTCCATTTTGCATAGGTCCTGAAAAAAGCTCTATTTATTTAGTCCTAAATTATTTGAAAGTTAGATAAATATTGCCGTAAATAATGAAAGACAAAGCATTATTGCCTAGCTCATTTCCTCAATGGTTGAGCTGGCATCTGTGGACCATGAGGGGTCATTTGAGTGATGAATATGTTGCGGCATTTTAATTATCTTAAGAAGATTTAATAAGTTTTTTAAAACAAATTAATAAGATTATACTGTTGATTTATGAATGCTTCTTCTATAGAAAATAACTTTAAAATAAAATTTTGAATGAGCTAAATGAGCTCACTTAAATTAAAGCAAACCAAATGTGAACAAGACATGCCCAAACAAGTTTGAGATATCATAATTCAAATGAACCAACACGAGCAAGCGCCATAGACCACCCAAGCTCAACAAATTTACACCCGTAATTAAATTAGACGAACTATAGGAGTAATAACTATTAAATATATGGTATTTAAAAATAGATTTCGGGCGTTAGAAAATTTACAATGAAAAATAGAAAATACGCTCATTAAATTAAATTAATGTTAAAGAATTAAATAAAAGATGGGGCAAATAAAGATTACAGGAATAGAAGTTGTTCGAAATGACAGAAGGAAAATAAATTTAACACCTTAGACACTATTCTGCAAAAACAAATGAAAAAAAAGGGATTCACAAAACCAAACCAAAATAATGTAAACGGCCAATGATGAGCATTAGGAATTAGGATAAATTTGGCTTTGTATATAGAAGACGCTTTAGAATATATTAATTTCACTTCCATTTATTTCCTATTTGTAAACAAGATCATTATACTTCATGGGTTTTGGATATTAAAATCACATATTGATATCTAATTATATTTGACAATATAATGGAATTACAAAAAAATCAACATTTCAAAATGACCTTTGTATCTACAAGCAACCAAACATGCCATAGAAGCGGGAGGGGTGGTAGTACATAATCAAAAAATAAACTTACCCGGCAATTGCTGCTGGCGTCCCTTTTTTCTGTTCCTTCCATGAGGGGCTTATCTTGTTGTTATCACCAATAAATGAAGGAGATTTCGCATGCAATGGCTGCAGAAGAAGAATAGGTAAAATTAGTTCCAAATATAAAGAAATTCAATAAAAAGACTAATCTTCTCTCTACCTGTGTCATAATTAGTATATTGTTGCATACTCGGAGCGCAATGGTGGCTTTCTGCTGCTCAGCTTTCTGCAAGTCATTGACGAGTGAGTCAGCTCATAATTATAACTGTTTGAATGCTGGATTTCAGTAACTTACAATATTGGCTTTTTCATCTTCTGTCTTAGCTGCAGAGATTGCCTTGTTATGATCTGCCATGCCCTGGGTTAATTTCTTTATGGCAACTCTCACAATTTCCTCAATAGAGTTCAATCTAAAAACAAAAACATGATAAGACAGGCAAAAAATCAAACACAATCTAAACATCTATCGTTCACCAAATAGAAATTTAAAGTGAAAATGATGCATAAATTAAAAGAATAGTGAAACACTAAAAGAAAAAAAAATGTTATTGTTTCTTAACATGCATAATTTTTTGACAGATGATTCTTACTCCGCCACTAGAGGCAATCATTTCCTTTACCAAGTTTAAGAATGTGTTTGTCACCCAGTTTGTCAGCACCAAAAGATCATTGAGAAGCTCCTAAACTCTCCTGAAAATAAGGATAAAGGCCGGTGAGCTGCTCAAGAACTCCATTGTGAAGTTCTAGAGTAAAAATGTTTGAAACCTAAACCATACGCCAACAATCACCCAAGCTGCTCGTACCTAAGCTCTACATGAAAAATCATTCAGGTACACTCTCGGCTTGTCGTACCAAAAATGTTTGCATAACAACTCAAACTCATTAATAGTTACCATAAATGCTGAAGAATATAGCAATGCCGTAGAACCCCCTTCCTCCAATCACCTGGAAAATGCCTCCATCAAACAAAATGTCTCAGGGTCCTTAATCGTGGTAGGAGCTGCCCAAGAGTGCTAAGAATAAATAGAATGGGTCAAAGTTAGTGAGATTATCCATACTACCATAAGAGGTGTCGCGACCCGAGAGATCAACAAGATTTGTTGTTTATCAAACTCCATAAACAAATAAACTACAATCCCCACTTGCAAAGACCGCGAAAAGAGACCACAACCTACTCATCATCAAATGACAATTTCTTTGCTCTACCAGCCGATGGAGTCCAAAGGCGGAATCTTTGAGTTAGCACTTCCTTCAACCCCAAGCACAAAGATCGACTGGTCCAAGCTCTCCAAGATGACCTTGAAGTGTTTGCCTGGATAGTCAAAGAAATACAAGGGTTGATCCAGATGTCACTTGCCAAACGTTGGATGTGAAATTCCTAGTTGGGCCCAAAAAGTTAGTAGTCTAAAAGCTTCTCAAGAACGACCTCATTAAAGAAGTGCAGTACCTTGATTGAATTTCAAACATAGTCATCGTGTAAAATTCAAGTGGCAAGTAAAGAAAGTCTGTGAACATCATGAATGTCAACTTGCTAAAACAACAGTTACACACTCCCTTGAATAGAAATTTTGGTTGACTCAATAGTCGATTTCCCTCTAATAAACTTAATATTTTGTGGATCTTCCAATAGATCAGAATGTATCTAGCTGATTATAAGAAACATAATTCTTTATAGGAAAACGTTTGTTGCTACATTGTGATACCATTTGGCTTCAAAATGACAGCAGTAAATGATGGACCAAGAGTTCAAAATCAAAAAGGAAATTGAAAGTGCATTTCAAAGGCGTATTGGTAAAAAGGAGGATCCCCAAGCAACACAACATATTTGAATTAAAAGAGGCATTTGCCATGTTAAAGAGGTAAAACATACGTCGCAACCTCACAAGTGTACTAAAAAGTTACAAAAAAAAAAAAAATTATTGGTGAACTTGCTCCCCCTTGAGGGCATTAGGGTTAATCTTGACAAAATGAAGGAAATCTTGGATATGCCCTCCAAAAACTTACCAACTATGGTAGTTGACTAGGAGAGTCATAGGTTGAGTTACCTCGAAGTTAAGTGACAAATGCTTGCCCTTCTTTAAAAATTTGAGGAGCACAAATATTTTACAAGGAACAAGAAGCCTTCCAATATTTATAGTCGCTCCTATACCCCCCTTCCATTATTGCAAAGTCCTATACCTCGGAATGGGAGAACATGCCATGATATATGCAACTACTCGAGAAAAATAAGCAATGGCTAGTCTATTACATGAATAAAATCCTACAAAAACTCGAACTAAGATATTTGATCATGTAAAAAACTATAAGGGGAAATTATCACAACTCAATGGTTTGGAACGAATTTTCAAGCACCCCAGATCAAAATCATCACAGATCACCTACTGAAGAGTGTACTTGTCATACCAAATCAGTCTAGAAGATTCTTGAAGTATATAGTTGAACTGAAATAGATTTGAGTAACCAATATGACAAGGATAACCAATCAAGCACATGCACTTCCCGATTTCATTGTTGACTCCACTCTCCTTGATGTTGGGCAAGAGGTATCAAGCAATAAAAGTTCAACATTGGCCTTATCCATCGAGTGGGCATCAGAAAAATAAGGATCAAAGTTACACTTCATGAATGGAGTTGAAGCTAGGCCCTGCTATATTCCCAGACTCACAACTCATTATAAAAAAAGTTAATGGGCCATTTGAAACTTGAAAATAAGTTCTACAAAGACGCCTTTACAACAAAAACAACAACAACAAAGCCTTAATCCCACTAAGTGGGGTCGGCTACATGAATCTTTTTTCTCCATTGTGTAATATTGAGTGTCATATTTTCATTTAATTCTAATAAATTAATATCATTTTTTATACAATAATCCTAAGTCTTCCTAGGTTTACCTCTGTCTTTCTTAACATATGTCAAATCTATAACATCTACTCTCCTAATCGGCTCATCAGATGGCTAACGTTTAATGTGACCAAACCATCTACAAAAGCGCCTTTCCAAGGTAAAAATAGAAATTGGCTAATTTAAGTATATCAAGATCAAACGAAGTCTAAAGGAATTAAATCAGCTCATTGACCTACTTTTCAAGAGCGGGAACCATGATGATGAACAAACATTGGAGTTTCCAATTTTAGCAATGAAGAAACATAAATTTTGGAGGTTAAGAAGCCACTTGCAATAAGGTAAACTCGTTCATTGAGTAGCTAAGAACAATTGGTATTCCATCCTTTATCTTAAGCTAATGAAGATTCAAAATTAGAGCAACTGGGAAGCTCTTCAAGGGTTTGGTCAACTTGCTAAATGTGAGGTCGAGAGGATTCTAAAAGAAATTCATTAAGAAAAGTGAGGGGGTTATTCAATTGGTATAGCCTACGAACAAAATCCTCAAATAAAGTTACTTCTAGCAGACCCTTTGGAAAGATGTAAAAGCTTTCACCAATAAATTTTTTTAATGCCAAAATTTTACCACAATAACCCTTGCACGAATTAGCCCATATACAAATCCCTTATTGTTCATACTTTTACATATGTAATTGATTAGGCCGATTACCCCATCCAACAGTCAAAAGAAATTTACCTTAATAAAAATGATTAATCATTTATAGAATGGATCGCAACAGAGGCTTTGGCGAGGCACACGGTATAGTTCATTAAAACTTCTATGTAGCATTTTCTAGTACAAACTCCCAATAAATGCAATCACAGATAACAAATCACATTATCACATAAAAAATCAAAGAGTTTTGCCAAGCTGAAAAAGCTTGCCTCAACTTAGTCTACCCTCCGTAGACTAAGGAGCAGGTGGGGGCGACCAACAAACTAAGAGCAAATGGATTGAAATATTACATTTCTTTTGGGCCTTAAGGAGCACCCCCTAAACAACAATTGGATAGATCTCCTTGAGTTATCCAATGGGATCAAGGCTCTATTGCTAGTCGAGTATGAACTTCAAACTCAAACAATGGTAGAAGCTTCAAACTTTGAATAGAAGAGCTAGGAGAATGGGTTAAAACGAACTAGTGGGGATGACGAATTATGACAACCCAAATGTCAAGAAAAAGTTTGAGGAGAATGGGCAGACGCTTCAAATAGTTGTTGAACTACCAGAGGAGCTAAGGGACTAGACATTGACAAGGATGAAAAAAACCAAGAAGAGGGTGACAAGGTACTACAACCCAAATGTTAAGAAAAAGTTCTACGTCGAGAATTTGGTATTAAAGAAAGTTTATTAGCGCTTCACAAATTTGATTCATCCTAGGAAGAGCCCTACATCATCAAAAAGAAAGTTGAACCAGAATCTTAACATTTAATGACATATAGCAAAAGGAAGAACCAAGGACATAAAGCGGAAACAATTCAAAGAACTTCAATCGACGGAAAGAGTCTCATTCCATATTGTTTTGACATTACACTCTAATATAATCTTACCTGTAGTATTATCAATGTCAAAATTAAAACAAAGATAAAGAACAAACCCTTTTTTTCATAAAATAAAAAGTGGTTATGATTTTTTTCTTTGGAACCAGCTTAGTCCAACAAGTTTTCGATGCAAAAGAGGGTGAGACCAAACCTAACTCGTCGATTGACTCAAAGGAGCCCACTATTCACAATAATATATTAAGAATCAACTTCTTAAAAAACACATGGGATACTCACCCCACTTTCATGAGTTCAAAGCATTGAAGAGATGGGGGAAAGTGTTGAGCACGATTCCGGCCTAGAAACCGTGACAAAGCAAGTCCTGGCGATATTGAGACAAGCTTTGGAAAAATTTTAATCTCAAGGATAAGTGTTGGGCTAATAAAATAAAAAAGAAAGACTAACTTGAGTTTGTGAATAAAAGTGATCTTGGCTTAAAGCCAAATTTAAAAGCCGTGAGACTACTGCTCCTAGGAGAGCTAGGAATCCAAATAGATGAAGAATATGCTTAGCAAAGTCACCGTTTCCATTTTTAGCGAAGTTCCAATCAAAAGAAAATCCAATGCACTCGAAAAAAATTTTTAAATTACAATATTCATAACAACAACAACAACAAAGCCTTAATCCAACTACGTGGGGTCGGCTACATGAATCCTTATCTACGTGGGGTCGGCTACATGAATCCTTTTTCTCCATTGCGTCCTATTCAGTGTCATATTTTCATTTAGTTCTAGTAAATTAAGATCATATTTTGATCATTTATATCATATTTTATTCAGTGTCCTATCCATTTTATACAATTAAGATCATATTAGTAAATTAAGATCAGGTTTTCCTAGGTCTACCTCTGCCTTTCTTAACACAAGTCGAAAAAAAAAACATATACATTCCTAGTCGAATCATCAAATGGTCGACGTTTAATGTGACCAAACCATCTAAGTCGATTTTCTCTAATTTTGTCTGTCACAGGAGCTACACCAACCCTATCACG